GCCTCGCCTCGCCTCGCCTCGTGGCGAGGCGAGGCGAGGCGGCATTTTCTGCACCGCGGCGAGTACGAGTTGATTTTGTAACTCGCCGAGTCGACTCGTCTATACTTAGAATGCTATTTTTGATGAATAAATGGCAAATTTTTAAGGAAATCTTTCGATTTTATTGTAATTGTTTCTAAGCGTTTCCATTTGTAGTGAAGTTTATCGAATTAAGACGATAAATTAGTATACAGGGTGCCTCAAAAGTCAGCTAACAAAAAGAAAACCGTATATCTCCACAGAGTTATGACCAAACGAGCTGATCTTTTTCTAGATGGTAGAGGATACTTTTAAATTTTTATTTATCCAGCAGCAGTTCATGAACACACGTGAAATCTAGCATCGTCTACTTCAGTACGGAATTTGGCCTTTTTTCCACACACTTCTAGCAGTAGTCAATCACAAAAAATAGAATTGTATCCTAAAGCTTATTCACAAATTCCATTTTGTAGAGCTTGTTATGATGATCATTTTGGAAAAAAATGCTGTATTTTCATCAAGAAATGACGGTATCAGAGTCAAAATACTAGAAAATGTCGTATTACTTCGACCAGTACTATTTGCCGTTTTCCAGTATTTTGACTCGAGAAACATCTTTTCTTGATGAGCATAGAACATTTTTCAACCAAAACGATGAACAAAGAGCTCTAAAAATTACTTGTATCATTTGTCAATAAGTTCTCGAATGCCATTACGTTTTTGTTCACTATCCATAGGAGTACTTTATGAAACTTTAACTGTACTCACTAGTGTTTTCAGATCTTTTCAGTACAAAAAGATTTGAGAGAATTTTGTGAAGTTAGACAGAATAGAGAAAACCGAAAGAATTCAAATAAAACATTACACAATTTTGAAAATCTAAGAACAGAAATTCGTATCAGATTACACAAACCCAAAATCTCTAGTTTATCTTTGGCAGAAATGTGACTTTTCCTCTTTTAAATGAATGATAATAATAATTCTAAGTGATGCTATCAAACCGTTTATTGATGAATAAAAACTTGGAAATATCCTCTACCATTAGGCAAAAATCAGTTCATTTGATCATAATCCTGTTCAGATGAGCTGTTTTCTTTTTGTTAGGTGACTTTTGGCACACTCTATATACACATATGTTCAATTATTCAGTCTAGTCCAACTATTGCACTGATGTAGTTCACAATGCATTGTTTATATGCAGTAAAAAAAAAATGATTGTTATTTATTTGATTCTCATTTATATCTTTGTCTTTTTGAACTTATTTAAAAGTCTAAAATGTTCTTTATTTGATTCTATAAACTAAAAAGATAGTGATTGTTATGGGTGGTTAAGAAACTGCCTAAAAATAACCATTTTGTTATAAACTCTAGGCGAGGCGAGGCGAGGCGAGGCGAGGCGGGGCGAGTCGGAGTCTGAAAAAGGCGAGGCGAGGCGAGGCAGCGATGAGCAACTCGCCAGCATGGCGAGGCGGTGGCGAGTCATTTTTTTGACTGACTCGCGGATCTCTGGTCTGAACTTCGCTATGATCAGCTTACAGTTACTCAGATATAGACTTTCAAGTAAGCACACGAAAAGATTTATTTTTAGTTTTAGTGCTGTAGTATTGTTGGACTTTCTTGCTTTTATCGATCACTCTTGATTGAATCTGTTGTAAATGAAATGCATTTTTCCTCTAGCATGACCATAGCATCAGAAAGTTGCAAAAGCTATATGGTTGATGAAGTTCATTCAAGAAACAATGGTGCAAAGCCCATTCTCTTGATAAATATGCTTCTCTCCTTGAGCACTTCCTTTGTAATTCTTAAGAATAGTGATCTTTGGATAGAATGGAAAAACATGATTTTCATCTTCTCACGAATGATAAAAGATCACCGATTAGACCTCTCAAGAATAGTACAATAGCCTCCATGTTTTCAAGAGAAGACTATACTTATAAATCGCAACTGAGGAACGCTTTTATGATGCTACCGATATCCACAGACATTCTGATATTAAACAAGTATATCTTACATCTTTTAGGACAAGAAAGACTAAAATGACCAGTGTGAAACTAGTATGTCTCACCAACCACATAAAACAATATTTTACGTCATAATCGGGATGGAGAAGAAGCGTTAAAATTTCTGAATGTGTTTGTCAATTCTCAACGGTAATAAAACCAATCCAAGCATTCAATTCAGATAAGATCGGGCTTAAGAATAATATCACTTGGACGATAAATATATAAATAATTATTCATTTTGTATATTCTGTAGACTATATATAGAGTTTGCAGAAGTTTAAACGATTAATTTTGTATGCCTATCAGCCTGTTGGAAAAAGATTTTTAATGCATTGTGTATGTGAATATGAATCGTAGGTTTTTTCAGTCGCAAAACTAAAAAGTCTCGCATCTAGAAGTTAATTTAAAAAATCTCTATCTATGCATGTTTGGGTCGTTCAAGTTGTGGTTCGTTTTAAAAACATTCTTTCCTCTAGTCTTAATTAGACTCTTCCATTTTTCTATTATAAATTTTATAATAAATTAAATCATTCAATCTTTTCTTAAGCATCATTCATAATGAGTACTTTTAGTACCTACGAAAAGTGAATCATCATATCATCGAACATGACCGAAATATTAATGTTTTTTTCTTCAAGCACAGATGGCCTGACAGATTTTGAAACTAGGACCTAATGAAGTCTTAACATTCTCTAGATGTTTTTTATCTGTTTAGAAATAAAAGACTTTTACACTTTCTTTTTTGAGTTTTGTGATACTCAAAGGTTTCATAATTATTTCAAACACCAGTATTCTCAGTTGATATTAATTTCAAAATAGTTTGAATTAGAATTAACTCGTTTACAAGTTTCAATAGTTTTCAAACTCAAAGTTCTTGAAAAGTTCATATTTTCCATAAAATATAATCTTATAACTCTCGTGGTGGGTATGAATGGAAGTCTCTTATAATTAGAAGAGGCATACGCAACGCAGAGCTTATTGTAAAAAAGACCTTCATTCATAAACAAGCAACGCAACAGACACTAATTAAAAACGAAAATAGCGCTAATAATAGCATTCTCTGGTCTGGAATCAACTATGTCAGTAGTTAATATCAATTGAACCCGTAATAAATTAGTATCACTGATAATCATTCCAATTGCTTGTCAAAAAAAAAGAAAAAAACCAGCAAATATCTTTTTTTTCTCTTCAAAAAACCATAATAACAGGAAAAACAAAGAAAATTAACTTGTATATTCATTGTTTAACTAATGGTGAAGGCTCTGTTTCAGAAATTAGTAAAAAGTAAGTCAGAATGAAAAACTATCAAATCGCAACAGAAAAATGACTGATCTATGAAATACTGCAAAGGATTTCATCTTGGAAATAATGCATCGGATTTCAATAGATTTGAAAAGCTAACTCTATTAATTAATTGACTTAGAAGAACAATTTGAGAAAGTTCTTTTACACAAAAAGCCTTCGAAATATGTCTCAATGACGTGAAATTCGAGCTAAGACTCTTTGAACGAGTATTTCCATGCTTGATCAACATTTTGTAAGCACCTGCAATTTTTATAAACATGAATTCACGTGAATTTATGTATCTTCTAAGGATTCTGTTAGATTGTACATCTGTTTTGATTGTATATTTCATTGATTTGCTAACAACCACCAACAGCATATAGAAAGATGATTCTACATGAAAATCACCAAGTGTTTTGTTTATCGATTTTAATTCTTTTATTTCGTGAAGCGTTCTGATTTATATATTCTATGCTAATGATCATTTTAGTGCGATCAAATTTAAGAAAACATGGAGGCATCTACAAAGTGCATCGTCAATTGCCTATACTAATGAATCATCGATGTTCTTGGATTGAAAATATATTCTTTAATTCATTAAAAAATGAAACTCGCATCTTGCAATATGCAAACATTTCATGGTCCTACATAGTATTTTGGTGTAGATTCAAAGACATCGAAGAATACCCTCCATTTAGTAGTATATAAAAAGCTATTAAGGCTGTGGTGACAGTTTGTGGGTACCTGTCTAGTGACGGTATTCGAAGAGAAACAAAAATTTTTGTAAATATGAATCTTTGAACGTCTCTTCAGTATGAAACAGCAATCATTTCGAACTAATTTTTCAGAACATATAATGAATTCAAGAACATGATCAATACTAATTTTAAAAAGTTGACTGCTTACATTTTTAAAATACCGACACATTAGCGAATACAAACGTAATAAATTAGTCAGATGGTAAATTTACTAATTTGGAATATTTTCATTTTTGAGAAAATTGCCTTTTCTGTAACATGATAGAAACTTTTTAATATGATTCAAGTATACATGATTCGGCTATTTTTTGTTGCTGTCTAACAACAGAAAACTTATATAAATAAAAGTAGCATTTCATTTAGATTGAAGAGATTTAATTGGCAGTTTCCTAGTCTATCCAACGAACTCGTTCGATCTAAATGAATCTTTCCAATTCTATTCGAACCTTCTCTATCTTACATTAAGATCTCTTCGATTTTCCTGAACACTTGTAGAAGCACCATGCATAGAGGCAACAGTTGCATTGAAGAATAGTGATAGCTGCATAAAGTCTTCAATTTTTCATATCAATTTTTTCTAATGAATATTAGTTCACTTCTTAAATGCCCATCCATTACATTATGTCAAAACCTACATAATGTTCTAGTAGAAAAAAAGTATCCACTCGGTCATAATAGCTGCTTGAATCTTACAACACTAAAAACTACCGCAAATCAGAGAAAACATGAAGGAACAAAAAACATTCCATTTTCTCTTGGATGGGAACGATTAGATGAGCTTTATTTCGTAAAATGATGTTTTCCCGTTTATCGAGATATTTCTAGTACCACTTTATCTTACTTAGCCGATCTTTTTATACGGGTTCTCAAAAACTTCCAAATATTCAAAATTTTTTATTAAGCCGCTTTAGAAAGAATTATTTAGCTATTTAACCTATTACTTACTAGTAGTTGTTGTGGTTGTAGTTGTAGTCGTTTTTGTTGTTGTTGTGGTTGTTGTTGTCGTGGTTGTCGTTGTTGTTGTAGTTGTTGTTGTTATCGTGGTTGTTGTTGTAGTTGTTGTTGTCGTTGTTGTTGTTGTAGTTGTTGTAGTTGTTGTAGTTGTTGTTGTTGTCGTCGTGGTTGTTGTTGTAGTTGTTGTTGTTGTAATTGTTGTTGTAGTTGTTGTTGCTGTCGTTGTTGTTGTTGTAGTTGTTGTTGTAGTTGTTGTTGTTGTAGTTGTTGTTGTTGTCGTGGTTGTCGTTGTTGTTGTTGTAGTTATTGTTGTAGTTGTTGTTGTTGTTGTTGTTGTTGTTGTTGTTGTTGTTGTTGCTGTCGTTGTTGTTGTTGTTGTAGTTGTTATTGTAGTTGTTGTTGCTGTCGTTGTTGTTGTTGTAGTTGTTGTTGTTGTAGTTGTTGTTGTTGTTGTTGTTGTTGTTGTCGTGGTTGTCGTTGTTGTAGTTATTGTTGTAGTTGTTGTTGTTGTCGTGGTTGTCGTTGTTGTTGTTGTAGTTATTGTTGTAGTTGTTGTTGTTGTAGTTGTTGTTGTAGTTGTTGTTGCTGTCGTTGTTGTTGTTGTTGTAGTTGTTATTGTAGTTGTTGTTGCTGTCGTTGTTGTTGTTGTTGTAGTTGTTGTTGTTGTAGTTGTTGTTGTTGTAGTTGCTGTAGTTGTTGTTGTTGTTGTTGTTGTTGTTGTCATGGTTGTCGTTGTTGTAGTTATTGTTGTAGTTGTTGTTGTTGTAGTTGTTATTGTTGTAGTTGTTGTTGTAGTTATTGTTGTAGTTGTTGTCGCAGTTGTTGTTGTTATTATTGTTGTAGTTGTTGTTGTTATAGTTGTTGTTTCAGTTGTTGTTTCAGTTGTTGCTGCTGTCATTGCTAGCCTTATTGTAGTTGTTCGTCTTGTAGCTGTGCCTAACATCAATGAAAAATTAGGAGTCCAGCATTCTTCAGAAAACTTCGTTAGCATTCCAAATAATGAGAGAACCCTCTAGAAATAGTTGTGCGTGATACAAATTCCAAAGGATATTCCTTTTATAAGGCATGCTCACTAGCAACGATTGCTGTTATGGTGCTAGTACCCAAAAGACAAAACTCATCACAAGGTTTTTTTAAAAGGTGGGTTCTTATATGAGTGTGAATCTGTGGTGTAGTGGAAATAACGTTTACATATCCGCACCCTCAATCTACATCCATATCCACGTCAAATATTTATCATGGCATTTTAGAACAGTAAGAGCAATAGTAATACTGCACTTTTTGTGACAACAGGATAGCTACAAACACATTCACCGTCCAAGCAGACAAGACTATTACAATCTGATAATTGTATGCACTGCTTTCGGTCTCTAAGCCATTGGCTTGCTACACATGAACCTTCACAGTCGACATTGGTCTCCTGTTGACTTTGTGAAACTCACATATATTCTCCAAGAAAATAGCGGATATAAGCTGGACCCTTTGAGAGACCAAGACCGTATATACACGATTTGAAAATTCCCAGCAAAACTTGAAGTCTTTGACTTTGTTAGAGTAGATTCGTCTAGTATTTTGTTTCTATTTCTAAATCAAGATTCTCTATTTGTGTCGTTGCACGAAGAGAAACCATTATTATTACGATAATTAACACTTTTCAGATTATAACTGATTCTGACGTTACAACTTCGTTATTTGTATTAAAAAAGTCTGTCCTCAAAGAGTTAAATTGAGATGTTTCTCGTTCTTTACCCTCAATAAGGTCCTAGCGACCGTTGGTTATATAAGAAAATCTAAAGATCACTCGATATGTTTTCATAGCAACATGAGAGAGGGAAAGGCTGACAAAGATCGGATCCATTTTCCTAGTGACGGTAGATGGGAGACTAATGACCAATGAATAAATTTTCCTAGCAACGTAAAAAGGCAGATCACGAAGAATATTGCTTTGATCATTCTGAAATGTTTTGGAATTTTTTCAAGCATTCTATGTCTTTAATATTTCTACTATAGAATTGAACTAGAATAAATATTATGAGGCTTAGTATTGAATACAGCGAAGAATCTTATTGTAGATGCCAATCAGCAGGGTAGTGGCATTATTCATCTAGCATAGTTAGAAAAGGATTGATATAGAAAAGTATGAACTAATTTAATTCGAAGGTTAGGCAAAACTCAACTGCATATGTCAAACCTTATTAAGAGAAAAGACAGTATGCTGGGAAGCTTATCGAATGATTGAATCAATTTTTATAGCGAGCTGATATTGTAGTTGAACTGATCAAATGAAGGATAAAAGTATATTTAATACTTTCAATGGGATGTATTGCATATATTTTCATAAGAAGACAAGAAATCGTGTACTGAAGATGTATCTGGCAATAAAAAGAATTTTTTAAGTATAATGATATTAAACAAATCTAATCAATTG